GCAGTATTCTAAATTTCTCCTGGCAGCTATTATTGCTCCTCCTCCACCACCACCCAAATTGTGAAGTTGCCTCGTCATTCTGGAGTTAGGCAGTCTAGAAGTTTGATGAAGGGAGAAACAAACAGAAAATAATGAGGGCAAATATCAGAGAAAATGTCTTCCCAAGCTCCACTGGACTCTGGACTCTCTTCCTGGTTCAGCCCAATCAAAGGTAGCTTTGTATAGAAAAGGAAGGCTACGCCCCTTGCATGCCGTGATATTTTCAAGAGATGGTAGACAGTCAGCAAGCAGGCCCTGGCTTTATGAACGGCTGGTGTTGAATTACTTGGACCCACTTCTCATTTTTCCCTGAATTTCCCCGTGTGAAATCTGCACATTTCTGAAGGCATGTTTCAGCTAGGGCTTGAATGCCAGGAAATGCAGGAGATGATGGACCTGCCAAAACAGTGGTGGGATAATTGTTAGGTTTGCATAGGATGCGGTGCATTGGCAGACCTGCAATACCCTTTTCGGTTCTCAGACTGTATTATTACTCGCTCAGGAGGCTTCTGTGTGATCCAGAGAAAATATAAAACAAAACAAAACAAAAGAGGAGCAAGTGTCATGGATTCCAATAGGCATAAATCACCCCATAGGCAGGTTTATGTCTGTTCCTGAATCTATTCCAAGTGCTAGAGATGGCCTGGGGCAGTTGGAGGTGCATAGAAAATCCATGCTCCAATTTCTATAGACAAATCTGTGGAAAAACACAACCACGGTGGATATTTGTGTTTTCTCCGTTTGTAAAAATCTATTGGCATTTCCAAGTTCAAGGTCTTCCTAATTCAAGGGTCTTCCAGATACTGTAGGGTGAACATGTGTCGGCCGAATGTCTTAGACACAAAATGTCCAAGAAAATTGTACTAAGATGGGGAAGTCCATGCCAGCTGACTTATTTCCATGTTGTACAACTGGCACTAAAGAAAAGTAGCAGTATCTGTGATGACCTGGGGCGTGGCACAAAGACAACACAGTCAAATAAGCAAGAAGAGTCCCTTTATTATCTCCAACTTTGCCCCCAAGTCCAGGTTACCTTTGGCTGGAGAAAAGCTCTCCCAGGAACAGCCTTTAACTGGAGAAAATTCAGTGCAAAACCAGTTGAATACAGACTGTAACTAAAAATACAAACAAACCAAGCTGAAGTAATTAACTTGACAGGACAGGAGAAGGAATTTCAAACTTGAAAGCACCGCTACACTCACACAGTTGGGAAGATGCCAGGAACACAGATAAGCCACGACGATACCAGTTAAATTCACAATTTGCTCCCAACAGCTTGCTACACACAGCTAATGAAGGGAATCAGGGCCCTTTCCTCCCCCATAAGCCACGCAACTCACATTGCTCCCTTTCCATTCCTCCCTGTGTGCCCTAGGATGAAGAGGAGATGGGCCTGGGTCTTCCTCTGAACTCCCTCTCCCTTATTGTATCTCTCCCCTGCTCTGCCCAGCCGGACTTTGCCCTTCCCCAGTTTCTTCCACAGCCATCGGAGCCACATTCCCACTCCCTATCAATTGTTCAGCCTCCCCCTCTGAATCAGATTTTGACAGGGGCATGACATTATCATTATAAAGCACAGGAATGGTCAACCGGTGGTCCTTAAGGTGTATGTTGCCTCCAGATCCTATCTTTGCAGCATACAGCGATATCTCTGACACTGGCAGATAGACAAACTATGTAGTTTCCTATCCGTCTGAGATGACACACACACATGAAAACTGTAGTATATAAACCCAAAAGGGATATATCAGGATGAAGAATAAGAACCATGCCCATGGGTGTGATGCACACCCATCGTGAAGACCTCAGCTTTCCCAGTGTTATGTGCATCTTTGGCCATCAAGGGTGGCCTGTCTCTGACCTAGTTAGAGTGTCACACTTCAACCAATTCCAAAACCAGTCCAGCTTCATGAGTCCAAGATCTATCGAAGAACTGAAGGAGCTTCTTGGATGAGAGGCGAAACGTTTTCAAGGAAAAAGCCCCCCCAAAAAGGCCAGTTATCTTTTGGAAAAACACCTTTGGGACAACCTAGGTCAGTGATGGTGAACCTCTGGCACGTGTGGGCATGCATGCCATAGCCAGCTGTTCTTCCAGTTTCTACCATGCACATGTGTGCCACCCAGCTGGTCTTTGCGGTAACTGGACTGCCAGGAAATGGCCCGAAAAACAGCCTGAAAATGACCCCCCAAACAGCCAAAAAACAGTCATTTGGGGGCCATTTCCAGGCCACAAACAGCCTGGAAAATGGCCCCCAAAATGGCCAAAAAAACAGGCATTTGCACACTGGCCAGCTGGTCTTCAGTTTTTTGTTGCTCTGACACGCACACATACATGGACATGCATGCATGTTTCGGTTTGGGCACTTGGTACTGAAAAGGTTTGCCATCACTGACCTAGGTGATTGAGAATCTTCATAGACCAATATTCATAGACCAATATTCCCAGCTTTATTTTTCTACAAATCTATATATTTTTCTATATTTCTGTAAGTTTTCAAAGGCTCTGAAGATATAAGCCTCATTGTTTTCATGGCGGATAGAGTCATCCTGAGCCCTGGTTCCACTCATTGTATTGTTTGACTGCTCACCGTCATATAATGTGACGGCCACATTTTCCAACAATGACTCTTTCTACTCCTTCTATTGTCAGCTGCCATGCTGTTTGAGCCATTAAGTAGCTGTCTTCCCCCAAAATACCCCAGGAAGCTATAAACGAGCAGCCTTAGTCATAAAACCCACCAATTTTGCTTTTCATAATAGACGTCTCTGGCATAAAGGCATATTTAGATCAAACAGCTACACATAATTTCCTGATCAGTGCATGGTACACTTGGAAGATGAGCGCTCAGAAAGAGACCTGGGGAAAATTCCTTCTGAACACTTTTGCGCAGAACCACTGTGGTGTTTAAGAAAAATAATCCATGTTGTCTTTCCTCTCTCCTACTGATCCGCATCTAGCATGTTTTATCAAGTGCTCTATGAGAGGTTTTATAGATATGCTACATTAAAGCTGAGTGGTTAACATTTAGAGAGTTGCCATTCTAAAGAGTCTTATGCTTATGTATATCAGTTTGTAGATAATGAAATAGGTAGGTAAGTAGATAGATAGATAGATAGATAGATAGATAGATAGATAGATAGATAG